GAGGGGCGCCCCGCCGGCCCGCGGCCCGCGGGCCCGGCCGGGGCGCCCGGCGGCAGGGCACGTACCTGACTGGGTGGTGGAAAAACGCCAGCGTTTTGTCAGGGCCGCCATCCCCCGCCGCCTCCAGAGCCCGAGCCTGAGGAGACGCAGTCGGGTGGGACCGGCCCTGGGGTCCCGCTGCCCCCTCCTCCTGGTGTGGCGGCAGCGGGGCACACGGGGACCCCAGCTGGCAGCGAGGGCAGGGGCCTTTCTCTCCCGTTGGCAGGGGTGATGCCCGGCAGACCTGGCAGACCCCTGCAGGGTCCGCCTGCCCTGCAGCCAGCTTCTCCCCCCTCCTCTACCCCTGGCCCTCCTGCCCCCACAAAGGAAGCTGGCATCTACCCACCTCCCCGACGGGCTTTTTGCCAGTGTAATCTTCCCGCCGTGCTCAAAAGCTCATGCCCAGGCGTCCCGCTAACCCCCTGAGGAATGTCTGCCAGGCCTGGGAACAGGCGGCCCTTTCAGGCCCCCGCGGCGCGGCTGTGCTGGCCATAGCTGCCGGGGGGGTCTGCCTGGCCCTGTCCTGGCGAGGCTGCGTGGCTCGTGGGGCAGAGGGGTGATGTACCAAGGCAGGCGGGCGCAGTGCTGCCCTGCAACAGTGCCGGGAGTGATGGAGTCTGGGGCAAGAGGCTGGTTTTCTGCCAAACAGGGACCCCAACCCTGACAGCGGGAAACTGGGGGAGACCCAGCAGGGAGTGTAAAACTCACAGTGTCTGTCTGCTCCCTCTGCCGCCCGGTTACCTCCTCTGCTCGCGGCAGCCACGGTCTCCAGAGAGGCAGGGATCTAGGTCCGGAGAGCAGGTTCAGTGCGACGGCCACCCTGGCCCGCTCCCCCCTTGCCTTGCTCTCCCCCACCGCAGCCACACAGCCCCAGCCCCACAGTCTCGCTCTGCCCGGGTGCGTGGCCGGGGGGCCAGGCACATGCAGGTGCACTTGTACCACTTCGGCCTCAGCGCTCCTCGCCTTCCTCCAGCCCCCCCAGCACCCCTGGAAGTCCCCAGCATTGCTCCCTGGGCTCTGCACCCGCAGCTGCCAGGATCAGAGGCGTCCCCATCAGAGCAGGGAGCCACACAGCATTCACCCAAATCCAGCTGGAGCCTTCCCCACCCCACCTCCCACACATCACCTGCCCTCCCCACCCTCCCCAGTTCCCCCAGGCTGCGCAGCACCCAAGTACCTTCCCCCTTGCTCCAGCCCCGGGGCTGGGCGAGCACTGGCCACAGGCATCCAGAGCCCGTGGGGAGGCAGGCAACAGGCAGCAGCTTCCATGGTGGCAGGCGACGATGTCCCCTCTGATGCTGCAGACTCTTGGCGAGGACACCTTTATAGTCCTGCCCTGGCGGTGACTCAAATTCTTCAGGACAGGGGCAAGGGCAGGGGAGCGAGGGAGTAGGGGTTTGGGGACAGTGGACAGTGGTTCCCCGGGTGTGAAATTTGTCCCAGTTGTGTAAACAGAGTCGGGGGGAGGCTGGGGGTGGAGGGGCTGCGATCTCTGGTGGAAAAGCAAAACACAGAAGGGAAAAGTTAGACACCATTTGTGAGAAAATCCCCAGGGGGGAACAGGGGAGGGCAGAGACAATTAACAAGGATGATTAAGGGCTCTTTGTGGCCATTTGCATAAGGGAGGGGGGATGTGAGGGAGGGATGGGGAGTGCTGGGGCAGCCTGATGGGCATGGGATGGGGACAGTGCAATGGCCATGTGATGGGACAGCCTGATGGGCATGCCCTGGGGACAGGGTGGTAGGCTTGGGATGGGGACAGCGCAATGGGCATGACGAGGACGGTGTGATGGGCATGGCCTGGGGACAGGGTGACAGGCATGTGATGGGGACAGGGTGATGGGCTGCAGTGGTGGCAAGCACAGAGCAACCAGGAGGCAGGTGATGGGACGATGAAGAGAGGACAGGGAGGGAAGACGGACAGCAGGGGTGGGCCCCAGGCTCAGGCAGGGCAATGGTCCTGCTCAGGCACCCATGGCCCCTGCTCGGATCACCCCGGGGAGCTGCTGGCCACACCAGTGGGGAGAGCATGTGCTTGCCTGTGCTCCCTGCCCCTCTCCTTTGGCTTTTTGAGATGTAGACCATACTGGGAGGTACAGAAAAGCTTCTCAATACGAGGGTGCAAGGCTCGCTCCCCTGCCCCCCCAACACTGCCACACGTCCCCTCCCTGCCTGCTGCTCCTGCCTGAGCACTTGAGGCAAGGTGCCACTGGCAGACAGGTCACCTCCCACTCCTGGGAGGGTTTCAATTTGGGACAAGGGAAGAAAATAGCAAATGGTCCCTGCTGTAGCTCTGCTATCAGCATCCAGACACCCCTGTCCAAACACCGGCCGGACCCTGCTCAGCTCTGAGCACAATTTGTCACCAGGGGCCCTCCCTGCCCCTCTCCATCTGCGGCAGCCGGCGAGCGGGAGGGGGCATGGGGCCAGCACAGCCCTCATTACCGTCTCCATTTGCTCCTCATTTGGGCCAGGAGTCTTACAACAACAAACCCTGTGGAGGGCAAGCAGGGCCAGGAGGAGTGAACCGAAAGCCCGAGCTCACCCCGTGGGCACGGGGAGTTCAACCTGCTGGCATTTCACTGCCCCTCCGACCCTAGCAGACGACGCAGCCTGAAGCGGACACATGGACGGTGGCACGCAGTCACCCACCCGCCACCAGGGCTGGCCAGAAAGGTGACAGCAAGCTACAAACCTGAGCCACTTAGGCAAACCTACCGTGATAATAGACAAGAAGCAAAACAAGGCATCCCAGATCCCCAGTCCTTCCCGACGCCGAAAGGGTTTAATTCTGATCTGCAATAAGCCTCTGATCCAGGCTGAGATTTGCAGGTGGATTTTGCAAAGCTGTAGCTAAACAATTTGCAGCCCCTGATCCCCCAGGCCGGGGCCCCGGCCACTCACCCTGCCCTGACCAGCCACCTCCAGTCCTGGGTGACCCCTGGCCACAGCCACCCTTGGTCCCACACCGTGTCTCCAGCTGCCTCCGTAAGTACCACAGAGCTCCGTCATGACCCTCCCGTGCCTTTTTGCTGGCACCCTGAGCACCTCAGGCATTTCTTTTGCAGCAACACCCCTGAGACAGAGCGGGAGGTCTTGGTTAGTGCACAGGAAAGGAGACAGAAAAGTTGGGAAACTTTGGTACCAAGCATTTGAGGTGCCGGCAGGGGACGGGGGTTGAGGAGCAGAGGCACTGGGTGGTGGCGGCACTCAGCCGGGAGCATTTTTTTTGGGGGGGCGGAATTTTGAAACAAGGCAGAGGGAAAACAAACCACCCCACTCCACTGCCTCTGGCAAATCCCCCACCCATGCCCAGGGCTGCAGGCAGGAGATGGCACCAGCAGAAAAACCCCTGCTGATGGCAGTGAGCACATGCTGCACCCCAGTGTGCTCACCCCACCGAGGGACAGGTCGTCCTGCTTGGTCTGGGCGCTCTGGGGAAGCATCCTCGAGGTGCTGCCAGCGTGCTTTGCCCTGATGTAATTCTGGCCTCTGTGGACATCCTGGGGATGCAGACAACACTGTCATGTGCATCCCTCTCCATCGTTGTCCCCAGCAGCACGGAAAGGCCGATAGCCATGGTTCAATCTCAGATGGGTGCATCCCGTTGTCCTGCTGGAGCCTCAGCAGCTTGGGGTGGGTGGTGGGTGGCTGCAGATGCCTTGGGTGAGCCCTACACAGATTGGGACGAGGCACAATTCCCCGTCATCGGCTAGGGGAGCCTCAGGGCCACCATCTGAAATCACCTCCGGCAGGTCCCAAATAACATGGCACAGCTGTAGCTTTTTGGCTTCTTTGGCTTGGGACATCACAGAAGACAAGGGACCCCCAGGAAGGCAGCAGGCACTTTCCCCCCACCAGCGGCTGACTCTCAATCCTTGCCTGTGGCCCCGGCGCAAGGGAGGGCTTTGGCGTCCTTCCCGGGCAGCACTGCTCTGCCTCTGAAGTCTGGCTGGGGAGATAGCGGAGGTGAAAGAGCACTTGGCGCTCCTCCACAGGCTTGGGTCAATCGTTAATCGGGGAGGGATTGCTTTCCACTCTTGCAGGTAACCTCTCCTCCCCCTGACTCCCACCCACACACCGGTGCCCACACAAAACCAGCACCCCCAGGAGTGGGGTGGAGCTGCAGTGCAGCGAGCGGAGCCGCCAGCAGGGCCATGGGAAGGTAAGCGTGCAGGAGCAAACTGCCGGCGAGCTGGACAAGAAGCCGTGAACCCCAGGGAGGCAACAGCCAGCCCCCACCATGGTCTCCATGGGGCTCCAGCTGCTGGGCTACGCCATGGCCTTCCTGGGCTACATCGGCACGCTGACGGCCACGCTGCTGCCTAGCTGGAAGACAAGCTCCTACATCGGCTCCAGCATTGTGACGGCCGTGGGCTTCACCAAGGGTCTGTGGATGGAGTGCGCCATATACAGCACGGGCATCACCCAGTGCGACATCTACAGCTCCCTGCTCAACCTGCCCGCCGATGTCCAGGCGGCCCAAGCCCTGATGGTGAGCTCCTGCGCCGTCTCCTCCCTCGCCTGCCTCCTCACCGTTGTGGGCATGCGGTGCACCGTCTTCAGCCAGGGCTCGCCAGGCAAGGACCGGGTGGCGGTGGCAGGTGGCGCAGTCTTCATCCTCGGGGGGCTGCTCTGCTTCATCCCGCTGGTGTGGAACATCCATGTGGTGCTGCGGGATTTCCACAACCCCGTCCTCCCCGACAGCATGAAGTTCGAGCTCGGGGAGGCACTTTACCTGGGCATCATCTCCTCCCTGCTCTCCCTCGTCGGCGGCTTCATCCTCTGCACCTCCTGCCCTGCCCGGGACCCAACGGCCACCTACACAAGCACCTACCAGCCCCGGCTGCTGGGAGGCAAGAGCCCCCAGCCTTCCATCAGCCGGACGCAGAAGACCAAGAGCGAGCTCAACTCCTACAACCTGACAGGATACGTGTAGCGGCTGCGGATGGGAGCCGGGCTGGCACCTCTCCTGGCTCCCCAAAGCATCTGGGCTGGCACCGAGGGAGTGCGGTAAGAGGAAAGGATACAGTGGCATCCTCCATGCTCAGCCTTCTCTCTCACAGGCTTAGGGGGATTTGACTGCGCTCTTTCCCCAGGGATCCCAAGAGCCTTGTGACTGCTTGGAGATCCCAGCTGATGGCTTACATCGGTGAAGGACCCCAAATCCAGCTTCTGTTCCCTCCTCCATGCTGCCAGCCTGCAGGCAGCCCCTGACACAGCAGGACCCCAGCCCAAAGCCCCAGTGATCCTGCCTGGATGGGGGTGGGTGGGCTTGTGCCCCCAGGGCCCAGCCTGCTGGTCCCGGAGGTATCACAGGGGGGTCAGGGCATCCACACGGGGCCGGAGTCACGGTTGCAAACCAACATCGCAATAAATCTGTGTTTCTAACCAGACTGCGGCTGAGCTTTCCTCTGGCACTGAGGGGCCCTGGCAGCTCCCCCAGCAGGGTGGGCTGTGGTGGGGGCCCGCCTGGCGGGTCCATAGTGCAGAGGATGTCCCCCCGCCGTGACTTTGCCACCCAGGAGCCCAAGCAGGCAGGAGCACTGTCTGGGGTGGGGGGAACGGGGAGTCACTCCCCTGCACAGTTTGTTCCT